GCCCTTTGTATTAAACTATGAATACATACATGATGCTGTTTTGTTTATAGTTGTTTAAGCAACTTTTAATTATATTTGGTTTATAAACATTATTTTAAACATTATGCACTTTTTTTCACAGATAGTCATGTTATATTGTTCTTTGAATAAACGTGCATTAGTGATATTTTGCTCGATGCGCCCTCTTGTGACCTCAGGAGAGAAGCCAAAAGCTTTTCTTCACCCTAACTGAAATTATGCATTTTAAATTGGAATATAATTCGAATTTTGATTAATATTTAAGTAAAAAAATTCTAATTTAGTTTTTCAGCCATTTTGACAGCCCTACCACACATGCATCATAAAATGTTTACTTCTTGATTGTGGTGAATTTCCAAATGAAATGGAAAAAAATGTTGGGTGGGACTTTAGTTTATTTTATATATTGCTAATTGTTTTGGGTTATGAAAAGCGGCTAATACATACTACAATTAAGCCAGAAGTTTTTGAACAAAGTCTCGTATACTCATTAAGCCTGCATTTATTTGATAAAAAATTAAAACCGTAATATTTTTTCAGACACTGATGCTTTGACTCAGTACCGGCAACAAGTCAGAAATGCCGGTACGCACGAAAAAGTGCCAGTACGCTAAAGACTAAAATATTAAGTGCTGGTACTGCAAGCACTGACATTATGCCTGTAAAAGTCGTTTCAGAGGCGGAGCACCAATGAATCATTCACATTAAGACCAGGAACGTGTATTAAGAAAGCAAATCGAGTGCATTTTGACATGTTTCCTTTGTAACTTTAATCCTTCTTTGTCTCGGCAAGCTTGGCTCAATATGATGCACTATAACCTGAGCGTGTAAAAACACACACACACAGCCTCAGCACTTTCCAGCTTTCTGGCCGTATTTCAGGTTTCTGCTTCGCTATCAGCAGTGGAGCAGCTTCACTCTCGCTGTTCGGCCAAGCCTGGGAAACAATACGTGCTGTTATTTATTTATTATTTTCAGAAAGAGGCCGTTTGTCGTTGTGTCTGGGGGAGCCGAGCGTGTGTATGTGTGTGTGTGTGTCAAGCTGTCGGGCAGGTCCAGGCACAGCCCATTGTGAGGAATAATGGATGCTATGGCCGCTATCGCAGGAGTTATCTCCCTCACACACACATACAGGGACTTGAGGAGCTGGTGATAAATGACTTTGAGACTCGCTGTCTGCGATCAATAAACCACTAGCAGCAGATGAGTGAGACCGAGCTGCCGCTCTCCGTTTCTACTTTACTTCTCTCCATCTGCTCCGCTTTGGCTCCTTCAGTCGCTCTTGTCTCGTCTCATCTCTCATTCTCTTCCCATCTGGTCTCTCATTATCTGCTATACTTTTGTCATATCGTATCTCACTTTTGTCTCTCATTATATTACTTTGCTCATCTCCTTACCTCTGCTTGTTGTCCAATCTCGCCTCGTTATCTTCGCATTGTTTATCGTCTCACTTATGCTCTTCTTGTCTCTTATGCTCTCTTATTTTCTTACCGCGTGTCCCAATACTTTTTTCTTTGTCTTCTCTCATATTTTCTCGCCTTGGCTCCCATTATCATTTTTTTTCTTCTATTTCTTCTCAGCTCTTCTCGTCTCTCTTTACCTTTTATATTTCTTATCACATTATCATCTTTTTTTCTCATAATGTCTTTTTTGTCTTCTTTTTGCTGCTTCATCTCTCTGTAAGTTTCTTGTCTCATGTCTATTGTTCCTCTCATCTCTCTGTCTTTTGGTTTTCACATCTCATCTGGTCTTGTCTCTGCTTTTCTCATCTCTTCTATTCTCGTCTCATCTTTTTCTTAAGATTTGTTTTTCTTTTCGCATCTTGTTTCTCATTTGTCTCATCCCTCATTTTTTTCATTTTCACATTTCGATTAATCTCTTTTCCTACTCGTCTCATTTTACTCGTCCGATCTCGTCTCTTCTCATCTTTTATTTTCTTGCCTTGACACTTTTCTAATGTCTTTTGCTTTTGTCTCTGCTCGTTTTGACAACTTGTCTTTCTGGTCTCATTTCTTCTTCTTTAAGGTCTCATCTCTTCATCTCTTCTTTCCCAGTCTCGTATAATTTCATCTTTGTGGTCTTTTGGTCTCACTTCATGTCCCTTCTCGTCTCATCTCGTCTCGTCTCATCTCATCTCACACTCTTCTCAACTCCTGTTTTCATGTCTCATCTGATCTTGTTTGTTCTTTTCTCTCATCTCATCTCATCTCTTTCTCCTTGTTTTTTCACAGCTTGTCTTTTTAGGTCTTTTTTTCTTCTTCAGTCTCATATCATTTTGTATTTTGTGATCTTTTGGCCTCATTTCATGTCTTTTTTTCCTCATCTAGTTTCTCACTCGTCTCAGCTATCATTTTCTCTTTTTTTACATCTCATCTTGACTCTTCTCACTCCTATCTGATTTTTTGCTTCTTTTCTTCTCTTCTTTATCATCTAATTTCTCACCCATCTCAACTCAATTTTCTCGGTTTCACATCTCATCTCGTCTCTGCTCTTCTCACTTATCTTGTCTCATTTTTTCTTGTTTTCACATCTCATCTCTTGTTGTCTTGTTGCTTTTCTCACATCTTGTGTCTTCTCTGCTTGTTTTGTCACACTTCTTCTTTCTGCCCTCTTCTTTTCCAGTTTGTCTTCATCTTGTCTTTTCTGTTTTTCTTGTCTCATTTCATGTTTTCTTATCTCAGCTGACCTTTCTCAACTCGTTTCTCATTCGTCTCAACTCTCAATGTTTGTTCCTGTTTTCACATCTCATCTTACCTTGTTTTTTTTTTTTTCTCTCGTCTCATCTCATTGTTTTCTCGTTTTCATTCATCATTTTATATTTTGTGGTCTTCTGGCCTCATGTTTTTTCTCATTTCATTTCTTTATTTTCTCGTTACTCTCGTTATTTTCCTCATTGTTTTCACTTCTCATGTTCTCATCTCATTTCTCACTTGTCATCTCTCTCATTATTTTTCTCATTGTTTTCTCATCTTGTCTCTTCTTTTCTCATCTTGTTGCTTTTCTCATGTCTTCGTCTTGTCTCTGCCTGTTTTGTCACAGCTCTTGTTTTCTGATCTCAGCTCTTCATGTCTTTTCCAGTCTCATCTTTTCTGGCCTTTCTTCTCCTCTCTAATCTTCTGTCTTCACATGAATGTCAGCGGTGGTCGTGTAGGTCTTGTTTGAGGGTGCATGTGATCGCTGGTCAGTCGCACACACACACACACACACACACTCACACATCATTGTTCAATTACTAACACTCAAATGCACACAGAACATCTCAGATGCACTGCGAGTGTGTGTGTGTGTGTGTGTGAGTGTTTCCAGCTGTAGGGATTGATCGCGGAATGAAAGTGTAATGGGAGATAAGCTCTCATCTCAACCCTCACTGGAACAGAACAGAGATTTGGTTACAAACACCAGCCTTGTGACGCGCGCACACACACACACACACACACTCACACTCACACTCACACTCACACTCACACACACACACACACACACACAGATGTTTTTGTCTATTTCTGGCATGTGAATACTCTAATGCTCAGACTAATTAAGCCTTCCATAATAAACCTCCTCCA